TAAACTTAATAACTCAAAAACAAAGGATTTACTGAGATATGTTTATTTTGGAACCAGCCTCCAAAGTTTTTAGAAGTATTTTTGATACACCTTGTATATATACAAGATAACAATATATAAATTTTTATATATCAAGAATAATTTGGGGGAAAGATGTATGACAAATTGGGAAAAAGTTTTGGTGCATGAATGAGAATGGGAATTTTAATTGATGAGCATGAATGAGAATGGGAATTTTAATTGATGAGCATGAATGAGAATGGGAATTTTAATTGATGAGCATGAATGAGAATGGGAATTTTAATTGATGAGCATGAATGAGAATGGGAATTTTAATTGATGAGCATGAATGAGAATGGGAATTTTAATTGATGAGCATGAATGAGAATGGGAATTTTAATTGATGAGCATGAATGAGAATGGGAATTTTAATTGATGAGCATGAATGAGAATGGGAATTTTAATTGATGAGCATGAATGAGAATGGGAATTTTAATTGATGAGCATGAATGAGAATGGGAATTTTAATTGATGAGCATGAATGAGAATGGGAATTTTAATTGATGAGCATGAATGAGAATGGGAATTTTAATTGATGAGCATGAATGAGATGGGAATTTTAATTGATGAGCATGAATGAGAATGGGAATTTTAATTGATGAGCATGAATGAGAATGGGAATTTTAATTGATGAGCATGAATGAGAATGGGAATTTTAAATTTAAAAAAAAAAATTTTATGGAAAGAAAAAGAATCTAAATGAAATTGTCTAGATTATATACCCAAAACACATAAAAAATAATTTAAAATTCCCAGCATCTCTGTTCGTGCACATGTGTAGTCACACCGACATAAACAAATTTGCCAAAGTCCTAAGGGATGAAATGTATCACATGAAAACGTTTTTCCAGTTTGTCATACATACATACATACATACCTCTCTCTCTGTCTATATATATATATATATATATATATATATATATATATAAAATTTTAACAAAGGAAGAGCAAAGAGAGGTAAAAAGAAAAGCTATGAATATGACAAAAAGAAACCAACAAAAAAGGGCAAGGCTATTGTGCCTCACTCTTCAGAGCTCAGTTGAAGGCAAAATATAAATAAGGACCCCCCCACAAAAAAGAGTGCTTGAGACTCTTTGTATTAAATCTAAGCAAGCTTGTTTCCATAAGCAGCAGGAGTAGTTGCTGTATCTAAAGGTAAACTTGTCCTGGGTAAGATGTTAAACTATGTCCAGCATCAAGGCCTCTCATCAGGAGGTTTTGAAAAGCATGGAACCACCTCTTAATTGCTGGTGTTCCCAGGTCCACCCTGACCCCAGGTGGTAGCACCTGTTAGGGTCCCAGCTATGGGCAAATAGTTAACTATTACCAGCAATACTTTTTTGAAAAAAATTATTACCAACAATAAGGAAATATATTATCAGAAACAGATTTTTGACAAAACAAAATGTTACCAGCAATAAAAAATTTTGTCGGCATTAAATAACTCATTGAAGTTGATATGCCGCGAAACAAAATAAACCAAACCATCTAAAGGTAATCTCACTGATTTATTCTGCTATGTTCTCATTCTTTCTCTCTTTTTTTTTTTTTTTTTGCTATTCATATATTTGTTTTGTCCTCTATTGAGCTCTGAAGAGTGTAGTGGGAATAACCAGTTAGCTCCATTTTTTTTTTTTTTTTTTTTTTTTTTTTTTTTTTAATCTTTGGTCTTCCTTCTCTTTTGTTTTAATATATATGTGTATCTATATATACTTTTGAAACTTTGTGCCCCCCTCCCCAAATTATCAGATTTTTTTTTTTAAATCTTCTTGGTCAAGCAGTGCAGTGAACTTTTTGGTACTCCCTTGATATGTATTGCTAAATCTTAAATGATTTACAGTGATGTTTTGGGGGTTATGAACTCTCAGGATCAACAATCAATTAACCAACACTTTTGAATCATCTGGCATTTTAGGCTGTTACTACTGTCCACTTTGTTTTGTCAGTTGTCAGCAACTTGGCATCAATTCGACTCTTGTTCTCTCAGTCATGGTATTCTCAGATGGTCTGTTACCAGTTATTTTTTCAACCAGCCACATTTCCATTAAGAATTCGCCCTAGTACTTGATTGGCAAGTCTGGAAGGTGGAAGCTTTGTAGTATAGTCAAGCCATTTTACCCATTTGCAGAGTTCTTTTAAAATTCCCTGTGCATTGTGGTGTCATAATATCAGCACGGAATGAGAAATTGAAGAGCCAGGTTCCAATTCCAGTTGGGTTCATTATATTCACTTATGCGCAAATACACTTGGGAAAGGTATTAAATCTTCCATGCAAACAAAAACGGACTATCATTATTGTTTTGTCCATGTACTGGTTAATATATTGTAATTGTCATCTTTGATAATGGTTTATGTAAGCCAAAAGCTTAGATAGGATTAAAAGATATGTATCAATATGTTGACTTTCTTTCTTTGTTGAATGATAATGCTATTAAGTTTA